TTACCATATAAAATTAGTTAGTGATTATAAAGCATCATTTAGTGATTTCCATATAAAATTAGTTAGTGATTATAAAGCATCATTTAGTGATTACTATGTAAAATTAACTAGTGATTATAAAGCACAGATCTCATGATTATTGGGTAAAATCTTTTGATGATTACCATGTAAAATTAGTTAGTGATTATAAAGCAAAGATCTTATGATTATTGGATAAAATCTTTTAATGATTACCATATAAAATTAGTTAGTGATTATAAAGCATCATTTAGTGATTACCGTGTAAAATTAGTTAGTGATTATAAAGCATCATTTAGTGATTACCGTGTAAAATTAGTTAGTGGTTATAAAGCATCATTTAGTGATTACCGTGTAAAATTAGTTAGTGATTATAAAGCATCATTTAGTGATTACCGTGTAAAATTAGTTAGTGGTTATAAAGCATCATTTAGTGATTACCATGTAAAATTAGTTAGTGATTATAAAGCATCATTTAGTGATTACCGTGTAAAATTAGTTAGTGATTATAAAGCACCATTTAGTGATTACCGTGTAAAATTAGTTAGTGGTTATAAAGCATCATTTAGTGATTACCATGTAAAATTAGTTAGTGATTATAAAGCACCATTTAGTGATTACTATGTAAAATTAGTTAGTGATTATAAAGCATCATTTAGTGATTACCGTGTAAAATTAGTTAGTGGTTATAAAGCATCATTTAGTGATTACCGTGTAAAATTAGTTAGTGGTTATAAAGCATCATTTAGTGATTACCGTGTAAAATTAGTTAGTGGTTATAAAGCATCATTTAGTGATTACCATGTAAAATTAGTTAGTGATTATAAAGTACCATTTAGTGATTACTATGTAAAATTAGTTAGTGATTATAAAGCATCATTTAGTGATTACCATGTAAAATTAGTTAGTGATTATAAAGCATCATTTAGTGATTACCATGTAAAATTAGTTAGTGATTATAAAGTACCATTTAGTGATTACTATGTAAAATGAGTTAGTGGTTATAAAGCATCATTTAGTGATTACCATGTAAAATTAGTTAGTGATTATAAAGCACCATTTAGTGATTACCGTGTAAAATTAGTTAGTGATTATAAAGCATCATTTAGTGATTACCATGTAGAATTAGTTAGTGATTATAAAGCACCATTTAGTGATTACTATGTAAAATTAGTTAGTGATTATAAAGCATCATTTAGTGATTACCATGTAAAATTAGTTAGTGATTATAAAGCACCATTTAGTGATTACTATGTAAAATTAGTTAGTGATTATAAAGCAGAATTATTTTTGTATTATGCAAGATAGAAAAGGAATATAAACACTGAGATATTGTTTTTCAACTATCTCCTTACTGATGATGGTAGGGCTGTGACCCATTGACACTTGTAAAAGCTTTTAGCTAAGGCCTAGTACCTTCAATAAAGTTTTTAAAATATTTATATTGTTTAATTTTTATTTTTTATTTCTTCTGTTGATTCTCAATCTTTTGCTTTTCCTAGCTTCACTATATGGTACTTTGTTTTCCAGCAGTCTCTTTCCCTCCAAGTGTTGGTGAAAACCTTCCATGGTTGCCATTGTCACCTTTATTAGTACAGAGAAGATCAACATACTGTCAATACAGTTGTGTTGGATTTGATGAAGAAACTTCCTTATGTAGCTTTACCCCTGCATGGCCTAGCATGTACATCCAGTGAAAGCAAGTTAGCCTTGTGGTAGATCTCAAAATTTTGGAGCAGGCAAGCCGGCTTCGAATCCGTGTAATACCCTAAAATAACTCTTCCCTTCACTTTAAGCTCTGGATGGCATACAAGAATAATAGTTAATTTCTGCCACCCACAATCCTTGTTAAGGGTGCTGCTCACTTGTTGCCTTCCCTCTTGTAAGTAGTTCAAAATTTGGGACAAAGGCAGATAAAATATATATGAAATAATAATACAAATACTGTGCAGCCACTTTGCTTCTATGCATTCTGAATATTACCAGTACTGTCAGTTTCAAATATGATATTGGTGGCAGGACCTTTTTATGGTTTGTTGCTTTCAGCACTATCTTTGGTGTAGGAATCATCTGTGGCTATGATGACAGGTGAATGCCAACTGTGGCTTTTAACTAGGTGCTGACAGGCTTTTTCTGCTTCACCATCTGCCCAATCTCTATATTTTCTGCAGATGCCAGGGGTGCCAGTTGTTTATTCATAGCACCTTTCCACCTATGACTGTTTCCTGAAAGTCATTTTTGGAAAACCCCTACATGGTTTGTGGGGTAGTTGTGGAGCTGCAATGTCCCAGTTAAAAAGGGCAGTGGCTCAGTGGTGGAATTCGAGGGAGTTTTACACTGCAAGGCTCTAGTGAAGAATTTTGCTTGTAAGTACTGTTGATGATCTTTGATGTTGCTGAAGCTTATGGGATTGTAATAGGACCTTCATGGGGGTGGCCTAAGTAAATCCCATGACCATTTGTAACCCTCTGAGCATGGGTGGCTCAAAATGCATATGTGATGACTTTATAGAGTTACCTTCAAAAATTTAATTAAACTATTTTATTATCAGTGTTTATCAATACACTTGACATTAAAATGTATTTTATAATTCAAAGTTCCATAAATTTAAGTTCTTAATTTCAAAGAGAAATATTCATTTGCCTGTATTACGTGGTGCTTCTTTGCTCTATGTTGCCCATTTTGGGTTTTCTAATACCCCCAATATGACCTCCTAACTTTACATGGAATTTCACACTTATATATATTTCTGAGCTAAACTCAACTTGTAAGTACAAAGGTTTTTGCTTTACAGAGATATAAGCAATAACGTGAAGGCTACATGCCATACACTTTGTAGGACATCCTTCTTTCAAATAGTGTCATTATTCTCTCTGACATTTGCTATTGGATTATTTGTAACCGAGAAGAAGTGAATATTACAATTTACTGACACTTACAGGGTCTCAAGCCCTTGGAATCAGTACATTTGAAAATTTTAGTGTTGTTTTGTTTCTTTGCTGCTGTTGGAGCTCTGATTGATCTGGTGTATGGATTACTTTAAAAGCCAGATATATTAATTTTAGGGCATTATATTTTACATGCTTGGTGATATTTCATATTTTAATTTTCAAAAGTAGTTTCTAAGACCACGTTATCATTTCTAAGAATTAGGACTAATCTTGGACTTCAATTTTAATCGTACGTGTGGAAAAGCTTAAAGAAAATAAAAGATTTCAGATGTAAATTCTGAATATCTTGGTGTTTTTTTTGTAATTTGTTTATGGTTTTAAAAGAAACTAAAGCATACAAATTAGAAACTAATTAGTTTAGACAAGAAAAGTTAAACAAAATTTGATAAAATACTTGCAAACAAGCAAGAGCTCAGTTGCATAATTCAACACAAGCATGCCAAGAAATTGATCTGTTGTTAACTTAAAGCTGTCTAGCATAATGAATAACTATTGCCATAGCCTGAGAGGATGTGAGTGCAACTGTAAAGAAATAAAAGTAAATGAAAGATGTATTAGCTTTAGCTGTAAAAATAAAAAAATGTGTAATTGTCTGTTATATTGTGTAGTCATTTTAGGGGAGGAGAAAAAGTAGTGGTTACAAAGTCTGTCAAATGGAACGAGTCCTTATACAGTATTAGGGTAGAGAAGATAACATAAGATATATAGTTTTACTGAAAACTTTTGATATGAGGCTCTAGTGAAGTTATGCAAATAAAATTTGAAATCAGAAAGGTTAAAAAAAAATTTTTTAAGTATAACATGAAAATCACCTTGCACTCAGACTACAGAGTCTGAGTTATACCCTGAATACATAAATTCACAGACAAGTCTTTCATAAAAATGTTTAATTAAAAAATCTAATTTTTTGTGCACAAAAAACTTGTAATGTTGACTTAAAGCTTCCCATACTTCATTAAGATACACTTACTACATTAAAATCTTTAGTTCCATGACACTTGTTCTAATCATATATAGTGAATAATATAATCCACGATGGAATGATTAGGACTAGTAGAGTATATACAGGTGACATTTTTGATAACTAGTAATAAGCACTGGGTAAAAATTATCAGGTCTAAGGTTATTTCAGATAGTTTGTAAGTAAACCGGTCATTTTACATAGTGCACCATGTTAGTATGTTGGCCAAACATAATATGAATATGGATATTTCCAGTTAATCCCGGAAAAGTCTTGTAATTTTTTTTACCTGTAAAGTATACAATTTCTGTGGTGTTTAGGCTTTGGTTTTCCTGATCTTTTCCTTCTCCTGTGGTTGAGGACTCCCGATGAGTGTATGAGCTCCGTTGCTTATGTGGGCACCCACCTGGGGGCTATTTTTTTAAAGTATCATCATTTGTAGACAATACATTTACTACTTAAGGTTCAGCACTCCTGTTTCTAGCCCAGTCCAGCGTAATTCCTGTATTGTAGACTACATTTACCACTTCAGAACTCCTGTTTCTAGCCCTGTCCAGCCTAATTCCTGTATTGTAGACAATACATTTACTACTTAAGGTTCAGAACTCCTGTTTCTAGCCCCATCCAGCCTAATTCCCGTATTGTACACAATACATTTACTACTTAAGGTTCAGAACTCCTGTTTCTAGCCATGTCCAGCCTAATTCCTGTATTGTAGACTAAATTTACCACTTACGGTTCAGAACTCCTGTTTCTAGCCCAGTCCAGCCTAATTCCTGTGTTATAGACTACATTTACCACTTACGGTTCAGAACTCCTGTTTCTAGCCATGTCCAGCCTAATTCCTGTATTGTAGACAATAAATTTACCACTTAAGGTTCAGAACTCCTGTTTCTAGCCCTGTCCAGCCTAATTCATGTATTGTAGACAATAAATTTACCACTTAAGGTTCAGAACTCCTGTTTCTAGCCCTGTCCAGCCTAATTCCTGTATTGTAGACAATACATTTACCACTTACGGTTCAGAACTCCTGTTTCTAGCCCTGTACAGCCTAATTCCTGTATTGTAGACAATACATTTACCACTTAAGGTTCAGAACTCCTGTTTCTAGCCATGTCCAGCCTAATTCCTGTATTATTCCCACCTCATCAGGTGTGAGCCAGTGATTAGTGTGCTGGATATGGATCCAAGATTTTGTGGTTCGTGCCCCATTACACCAATGAAAAAGATTGTGTTCTTCATTTTAGGGCTTTGGGTATGTTATAAGAGTGACAGTCAAATCCCACTAATTGATTAAAGATGCCTGTAGTTTGCAGTGGGTGGTGTTGACTAAATGACTTTCCTGTAGCCTTTCACTTCAACATTAAGGACAGCTAGCGTACAGGGTGTCCGAAAAGTTTTGAACCATAGGTGATTTGCAGCTTTTCTTAATTTCAGATATGTTGATTGGTTATTGTGCTGTCAAAGCATGGGAAGGTCAAATTAATCCTGCTGTTAATCCAAGCTTGTTTCTTATTACAAAGATAGCATGTGGAACACATTCTGTAAAATGTATTCAAGTGCCTATGGTTCCAGACTTTTCGGGCACCTTGTAGATAGCCCATAGGTAGCCTGCACGAAATTAAGCAAAACAATGTTTACACCCTCTAGTAACAGCGTGTGGGAAAATGTCCTTTCTACTTGATGATCTGTCACACTACCCATTATGTGTGGTCCTATTTCATTTTCTCATGGTTGTTGATCCTCTATTCCACACAACTACTCCCTTGTGTCAGACTTGATACCTTGTATAAACTAAACTCAAGCTAACTTTAACAATAGATCATCCATCATTACCAAGCCAGATTATCTGACAAATATCAATCAGAAGTGTGTGGTAACTATCGAGCAAAATCATCTAGTGATTGTAAAACTAAATCATCTTGTGATCGATGAGTAAAATATTGTGGTAAATAACAAAATAAATCATCTGATGATAAGTAAAGTCCTCTGGTGATTATCAGGTAAAGTTATCTGAGAACTTTACTGATAGAGAGAAGGCTAAAGATTTGTTGGCCAATTCATTTTTTAAAACTATACTGATTAGATAGTTTTAAACTATGTATCTGTTGCTGATTATTCTGTTATAAAAGAATTAATTTGTTTAATTGTTTATCTAAAAGCTGAAACGTGTGAGCTGTAACAGTGCTCAGAAATTATTGTATTTCGTGAGGATTTAGAGTATGAAATTTAATGTTATATCTCTTTAGAAGCACTTTTTAAACTACCCAAATATTTTGTTTCTCCTACAGGGGCTGTTTTTTGACTTCATCCCTAATTGCCACATTATCAATCTCATTAACAATTCCATTAACAGTCTTGTTTGATATGGTTTTAAAAAAGGTTAGTTCTCTTATTTTGTGTAACATTCAATACATAAACACAGTAACTAATTATAAATCAACACATTTGAAGTATTGTTGGCAGTAAACAGTGCCAAAACTAATCCTTATTCTGCTGTTTCAAAAGATCATCTTAACTACATCCATTAAGTAAATCTTTTAGAGAAGATTTTTCTTCCTGTAAAAAATAACCTGCAGTTTAAAGCACTTCTCTTAAGTATTGTGGCTACACCATGTCGACCATTCAACTCTGTGATCTGGTGGTTAGGGCACTTGATTTGCAATCTGTGGGTTTGAATCCTGTTTCTGAATATTCTTGTCCTTTCAGACATGGGGGCATTAAAATGTGATGATCAATCCCACTGTTCAATGGTAAAGAGTAGCCCAAGAGCTGGTGGTGTTGACTAGCTGCCTTCCCTCTAGTCTGTCACTTTGAAATAAGGGATGGCTAGTGCAGACAGCCCTCAAGTAGCTTTTTCACAAAATTAAACAAAATAAAATATTCAACTCTAGTTGTGACAACACTTGTGAAATTGTATCTTGTCACAAATTCAAGTGATTTAAGAAATGAACTCATTGTTTAACAAGTTAGTTAATTTAGCCATTACAAGTTCCCACATTGACGTAGTTAAATTAGAAATGTAACCCTATCATCAGAAGTTTCCCACAGTGATGTGGTTAAATTAGAAATATAACCCTATCATCAGAAGTTTCCCACACTGACGTAGTTAAATTAAAAACGTAACCCTATCATCAGAAGTTTCCCACAGTGATGTGGTCAAATTAGAAATATAACCCTATCATCAGAAGTTTCCCACACTGACATAATTAAATTAGAAACGTAACCCTATCATCAGAAGTTCCCACACTGACGTAGTTAAATTAAAAACGTAACCCTATCATCAGAAGTTTCCCACACTGACGTAGTTAAATTAGAAACGTAACCCTATCATCAGAAGTTTCCCACAGTGATGTGGTCAAATTAGAAATGTAACCCTATCATCAGAAGTTTTCCACACTGACGTAGTTAAATTACAAATGTAACCCTATCATCAGAAGTTTTCCACACTGATGTGGTCAAATTAGAAATATAACCCTATCATCAGAAGTTTCCCACACTGGTGTGGTTAAATTAGAAACGTAACCCTATCATCAGAAGTTTCCCACAGTGATGTGGTCAAATTAAAAATGTAATCCAAAACAGTTAGAGAGAAATATGCAGTACTCAGTACAGATTTGAAGTTTTGGTAACAAAAGTGTTACTTGGTAAGATAAATGTCATTTAAAGTAGTGACTTAGAACTATTTTTTAAACTTATAAAACTGAAGCGAATTAGAAATGAGAGACAAACGTTTTGTGTGAGGTGATTGAATTTGTTTTGTATTTTGAAATTTGCAAAAATCTAATTGAAAACAAATTTTACGAAAGTTAAATTTTAAAGAAGTATTTATTGTATCTGATTTTTAAGAAATGTTTCAGTTCATTGCGAGAGGTATTAAACCTTTTGATATGGAAAATAATAATTTTTTTATGGCATAAATATCTATTCTTGTCTTGACTGTACTAGTTTAGGAAGAATTTATGATACTTATCTAATTACTTTCATTCAGGTAAAATACCCAAACCTTTTTTTCTTTGGAATGATGCCGATGTTTCTATCTTTCTTTGCTGTTACCTTACTTGCACACTATGACAACTGGGACCCAGTGACAGAGTACCTGCATAAACTAGTCAGTTGGATATGTTGTAGGAAAAAACCAAATATAAGGTAAGTTAAGGTTGTGACTAAATTAGAATTCAAACGTTTGTTGCAGTTGTTGAGTGCAACTATTATGTTATATATATTTCCTGTGTAATTTTGGGTCTAATATGTATACTGTTATGGATGTATAAAAGATACAGCATATAAAACCACAGAAAAGCTTGTGGGGAATCGTTATGGAAGCCTTGCCACTATAATTTTTACTAGTTTTAGATA